TGTGGAGGGTCCTTTCGTGAAAATGAGGTGGTGGACCACTGAGTTGAGCTTGTCTAAACAGCCCTTAACTCTGTTTCTATGGAAATGCATGAGGGCCATTTTCATCCTCCGAAAGGAGAGCATCCCCTCTCCCTCTTTTTTTCTTCTCTCCCCTCTAGTAGAAACAAGAACTTTCACAGAGATCCCAGTGTGGCTTTTGTCTGTGAGTCCATTAACTTGGCTGGCTCTGCCCTCATTAATGACTAGGCATTATGGAGCCTGAGGACTCCGCCTGGTGAGAAAGCCATTCTGAGTCGTCTCTTTTTTTCTTTACTGTTGTCATAGTCCACAAGGCTTTGAGAGTCCCTCTGAGGTTACACATCTGTACTTGGGTTTGATTTACAAAGTCCAAGAGGCAGGCTGTGTTCTGCATGTGACAAAGAGGACACAGGTACTCGGAACGGGTGCTTTGATTGTCCTGCAGTCGTGGTCATAGAAAATGGGGAATATCAGCATCTCAGTCTTCAGAGACTCACAAGGAAAGCAAAACTCTGAAGCATCAGCCAGCTATGACCACAGCTATACTATGAAGGGGTGACATTGGGTTGTGAACCTGGGCATTCAGTTCCCAAACAAGTACAGTAACACAGGTCACTGCCCTCTACCACAGTGACACAGGCCACTGCCATCTACCACAGTGACACAGGCCACTGCCATCTACCACAGTGACACAGGCCACTGCCATCTAGCAGGGCCAGCCGTCAGCCGTCACTGGCACCAATCAGCTGTGGTAGTGAAATGACTACAGAGGTCTTGAATAATTAGAATGGGACCCCCTCTCTAGATCTTTCCCTCAAGGTCCCTAAGAATCATGAATGCACTCCCATAGTAAGGAGTCCATCCACAGGCAGATGGGAGCCATGTACCAGGAATACTGACTCAGTGGGTGAAGAGAACAATAGAGGGGTAAAACTAATCCCAAGTGCATCCAGCGCTGGTCATGCTACCGTCCATCTGGGGATACATGGTGCAAGTGGCATTTCTGTAACTGTGTGTGTGTGCATGTGTGCGTGTGTGTGTGTGTGTGATGGCTACTGCATGCTAAACAAGTGCTCTACCACTAAGGTACATCTGTAGCCTCTGCAACTATTTAAATCATGTGTCACAGTTAGAAATGCAGTGGCCATCTCAATCTAGTATGCAGCTGTGTGCACACAGTAGGACTAAGCCATGCTTCCTGACATTTTGCCTGTAACAGAATCTGCTGTGTCCTGAATTGGGGTTAGTGGTCACTGTTCTCCAGGCTTGTGTGCATGTATGTATGTATATACACACGCACACATAATTTCACCACTCACCTACCCACCTGTACCACCTGTAGGTCATGCCTTCAGATTAAAAAAAAAAAAGGCACAAATGCTATTTTAAATAAATAAATAAATAAATAAATAAATAAATAAATAAATATCTGTATGGCTTGATGAAATGAGGGCCCAGCCCTTGTCTAGCCCTCTAGGGCCCATGTTGCTAGTCTTAAACGTGACCCATGATCCTTGACCCTGAGTGGCAGGCTCCCCAGCACAGCCCATTTGTCTCTCAGGACAGGTCATTGACCCCACAGTGGTCCTCCTGAAGCAGTCAGAGGTCCCTGTGGGAACAACATAGGGTGGCTCAGGCCAGCACTGGGATCCTTATGGTAGATTGGGCACAGTGACTCCCAGGCTTGAAAGAGACCATGACATGGACTGGGTCAAGGCCCCATTTGCTGTTTTGAATCATTCAGCCTATAGCATTCTGAGGGTGGCACACTCGGCCTGCATACCTTCCAGCTTGGGAACCCAGGACTGCCAAGGCGTGTCTGCTCACTCTTGCACAGTTTGGACTGTCTAAAACCTCAGACTGATTTCCCCTCCTGATGATCACAGCTATGGGTGGCCATGAGCAGCTGGGGACAGACAGACTCTAGGGAACCACCTGGCTGCTTTGGGCCATAACTCATGATCAGGGTTTGGCAATAAGGACCCATGGCAAGGCCAGAATAGGGATCCCCGTAGAAGAAAATCCGTGTCTGTTCATGGAAGAGCCATACGTTCATAGCCTGTGAGTTGACATTTTCAAACATGGTGTTATCTAAGCCTTTTAACAACCTCCAAGGTAGACCCGCCCATCCTACTTCACATGTTGTCTAAGATATTGTCTAAAGAACTGCTTCCTAGGGTGCTGAGTCTGGAAGGAAGCCACGGCCATCCTGGGGACTGTTCAGAGTAAGTGCCTGACAGAACAGGAACAGCCCTTGGCTGCTCCCTCCACTAATGAGGGTCTCTCCCCCACCTCAGACCGCATCGCACGGAACCGAAAGACCATCGTGTGCCCAATGATCGACGTCATTGACCATGATGACTTCCGGTATGAGACACAGGCTGGGGATGCCATGCGGGGTGCCTTCGACTGGGAAATGTATTACAAACGGATCCCAATCCCTCCAGAGCTGCAGAAGGCTGACCCCAGTGACCCATTTGAGTAAGTACAACTGGTCATACTGGTGGTGACCAGGGCCCCTACCAACACACCTGAAGTCTTCACTTATCCTCGTCCTATACAGAGGTTCCAGGGTCCTGGGCCCACTCAGAACCCAGCACCAAGTATCTAACAGCTAAAAGTGTCTAGTTCTCTGACATCCCTTTCTTCATCCTAAGTCTTGGACGTCCCACACATACAGATCCTCTCCTTGCCAAGCAGCCATGTTCCAAGTGCAACCAGCTGTCCTAGACCACGCAGGGTGAATGTCACCTTAGGTGACCCAACAGAAGTTGAATGAAGAGTTCCCATCCTACTGACCCTTGCCTATGGTATCAGCACAGTTCATTCCTAGGAGGGCAAGGGGTAGTGTTAGCAATTAGGACCTGCGGCTTAGAGACAGGGTCAAAAGCCAACTGTGAGGCCAGTAGCTCTGAACCATCCCACCCTGAGAGTAAGCCCGCCCCCTTTGAAGGCTGAGGTGAGGGCACCTAAGTATTTGCGGGATAATGGTGTGTCACACCCTCAGTAATGTCCCAGGGATTCCTCCAACCCCTGCCTTGTATGAAGGTCCCATACACCTGCCACAAGGAAGGTGTCTTAGTTAGGGTTTTACTGCAGTGAACAGACACCATGACCAATGCAACTCTTATAAAGGACAACATTTAATTGGGGCTGGCTTACAGGTTCAGAGGTTCAGTCCATTTCCTCAAGGTGGGAGCATGGCAGCATCCAGGCAGGCATGGTGCAGGAGGAGCTGAGAGTTCTACATCTTCATCTGAAGGCTGCTAGCAGAATACTGACTCCCAGACAGCTAGGACAAGAGTATTAAAGCCCACACCCACAGTGACACACCTACTCCAACAAGGCCACACTTCCCAACAGTGCCACTCCCTGGGACAAGCATGTATAAACCATCACAGAAGGCTTAGGAGGCATGTGGTTAGGGGCAGTCTTGTCCCATCAGTCTTTCCCATGAGTCCTAGAGCCAAGCAGGGGCATGAAGGCTACTTCTAAGCATGCTGGTTTGAAGGTTTGGATTTTCAACAGACTGGGGTACAGCCATCCATCCCGATAGAATTTCACATAGCAAACGTTAGGCAGCTTCCACCTGGCGCTGCCCTGGGTGAGGTGCCATGGTGTCCTCTGGATCCCGTCATGTCACACCCTGACTCTCTTATGCCCTGTCCCCTCTGTGCGTCATGTCTGTGCCTTGTGGTGTGGTTCCCACCTCCCCTGTGACCTTTTCCCTCAAGAATCCTCTTAAGCACCTTTTCCTCTGAGCATTCTTCCTTACTCCCTAGCCATGCCTCCGTCCTCACCCTCAGGGCTGGAAACAGACACAGTCTTTGCCTTCCTTAGTGCTCTTGTCTGTACTTCCCGTAGGCGGCCTTTACCGTTTATTCTCCGTCTCTCTCCTTGGATCCCTCTGTGCCAAGGTGACTTCACCACACAGCTGTCCCCTGAAGGACAGTGGTTTGTCTCCTGACCCCTCCAGCACCTGCTTCATGAGTGGCATTCAGTGATGAATGAATGAATGAATGAATGAATGAATGAATGAATGAATGAATGAAGTTCATCCTTCATCCCAGAGTAACTGGAAGGATTGAGGTAGTGACTATGGATAGCACAGCCGAGCAAACATCTGCTGCCTCGGGGAGAGAATCCTCAAAGGATCCAGGTGTACGAGTTCCGGCCCAGAGACTGCAACCATAGGCCTGGTGAGGGCCCAGCAGAACTGTGTTACTTTTCAATCTCTCTAGAAGATTCTGCAGCACATACACACACACTGAAGACAACGGTTCAGACCCTGTAACTAAGGGGAAGGCTAGAGACGTGTCTGTGAGGCAGCTGTGAGACCTGTGGGACGGAGTTGCTGTTGCTGCTCCTGCTGCCACCGCAGATTTCACTTCACAAGTGCTCTCAGGTGTTAATCGCACCGAGGGACTGGGGATCCATTAGGTTAAGATGTGGTTTATGAGAGGAAGTGGCAGGCAAGAAGGCCAGGTCCCTGCCCATAAGGCCTTGGCGTCCCCAGCGGACAAGCTCAGTTTCTGGGGATACCATCAACAGGGAAGCAGGCCTTCTGACTACCTGTCCTCACACCATGCTCCTTCTCCAACAGGTCTCCCGTGATGGCTGGAGGGCTGTTCGCTGTGGACCGGAAGTGGTTCTGGGAGTTGGGCGGATATGACCCTGGCTTGGAGATCTGGGGAGGGGAGCAGTATGAGATCTCCTTCAAGGTGAGTGTCTTCTCCCATGTGCAGCAGCCATGGCCTCTCGGCTTCTGGAGTCGAGAAGTCAGAAGCTGGCTAGCCACTCTCTGTGGTAGGGGCAGTGAGGGGATAGAAGGGACCTTCAAGCACCTGGTCTCCACCATAGATATGACCAGCATTTGCTTCCTCTCAGCATGGCAAGGTTTCGCCAGAGCTTCCCACCAGCATTCGGAAGATGAAGACAAAGGCAAACCTATGCCTCACAGAGGCCCAGCCTGACCTGCTTGGTTACCTTTTCAAGTCCTCCCTCGTGTGTGTGTCAGAGCGGGAGTTGGCACAGACCACAAGGTGGATGCTCCCATGGAGGGGTCGGGAAGATCTCAGTCCAGGTCCTAATCCTGTCAGTCGGCAGCTTTGACTTTGAACAGTTCTGATCACTTGTCCAAGCTTTGCCTCCTCAGCTGAATGGAGACTGGTACCCCCTACCGCGCCCCCATCCCGGCCCCCACCCTCTACACAGATACACAGCCCGGGACCCAGGAAGGTTGACTCAGATGACTATAAAGTGCTTGGCACAGAGCCTGGACCACAGCCAGAGATTAGTGGCCAACAGACATTCCTAAAGATGACATGAATCAATATTTACTATGGTCTCTGGATCAGCCGTGAGCCAACCAGCTGCCCGACAGTGACGACTGTGGAGGAGTTACTACTTGGGCAACTAGTTTACCTCTAGTAAATGAGTATGCATCCTCCTCTGTATTCGTGGGGTTCTGTTCGGGCCCCTGGAAAAGAAGGCTCAGCCCCTAGGAGGGAAAGAATAGCTTGTCCTATTCTATTGAGGTCTGTGAGGACCAGTATCAAGGGCAGGTGAGATGGCTTAGGGGTTAAGACACCCACAGCCAAGCCTGACGACCTGAGTTCCAATCCCTGCCCCCCAGAACCCACATAGTGGAAGTGAAGAACCATTTCCCACAAGCCGTCTCCTATATGTATGCCACGGCACCGGTATGCACATGTGTGCATGCACACACCTACGCACGATAATAGAACCAGCATTCAGCATGAGCCGCCCCTGGCTGACAAGTTCCTAACCCATGAGGGACAGGCAGCACCATTACTGGGTTGAGCATCAAGCTTCAGTGCAGCAGTCTGATGTCAAGCACCATAATAAAAGACCTCAGAGCTGGGCCCACGTGGTCCATGACAGGTCCTAGCGCTACCACTTCCAGCGGCAGCCATGTGGTCCTGGACCAGGATGTTTCCCTCCACTGAGCCTTAATTTCAGCTTCCATAAAATGAGGTTAGCGGTTGTGTGGCTCTCATTGTTGTTGGGAATTAATGAGACCATGCTTGCTAAGGGCTATTTAATAAGAGTGCTAGAAAATATTATCACTATCAAGTTATCAAGATGTTGGCATCATCTACTGGACCAGCTGCACAGTTCAGACCCTAGGAATACAGACAGCTCCCTAATGTGCAAACATCTCTCCGGTGTGATAGAGGGTAGTCTGTGTCTCTATGAACCTCCAGGTCTTTGATGCTTTCCCCTTTGAGAGACCAGCCTCCTAAATACAACGAATGTTGGTATCAATGGATAACGCCCAGAGTATTTAGCAAGAGATTCAGCACCAGCCAACTGGGACAGATGCCCTGGAACAGCACAACTCCAACCCTGATAGGGTGACCAAGATGCCATAGCAGCCCTTCACACGTGTCTGACCTGTGAGGGTGATACCAGTGTTACACTCACCTCATGGGAGCAAATAAGTTTCAAACTACACAGTCTGCAGTGACTGGACCAGGGCCTAACCCCAAGCTCGGCACTCCAAAGTCTACATATTATAATCTGTTGAGTAAAAACAGCAATTAGCCTAAGAAAGTCAGCTGCACCCGCGAGCCGTTCCTTCTTAGGTTTTTACCTCTTCCCGGGATCATCCCTAATTTACATGGTGATTTTTTTGGGCTCTCAGTGAATAGAATGAATAGAACAGTCTGAGTCGGAAATAGCAAATAAGAGGCAGGAGATGTGGCTTAGAGGGTAAGAGCACCTACCGCTCTTACAGAGTTCAAATCCCAGCACCTACATTGGGCAGCTCACACCCACCTCCAACTCCAGCTCCAAAGGATCACACACCTCCTTGTGGCCTCTGTAACTACTCTGACATGCACAAGCGCACACACACACACACACGCGTGCGACATACAATCTTTTTTTTTTTTTTATTTTTTTCGAGACAGGGTCTCTTTGTGTGGTCCTGGCTGTTCTAAAACTCACTGTGTATGCAGACCAGGCTGGCCTCAAACTCCGAGATCTGCCTGCTTCTGCCTCCTGAGTGCTGGGATTAAAGGCATATACCACCACTGCCTGTCTTACATAATTATTTTAAATTAAAATAAATATCTTTAAAGAAGAAAAAGAAGCCGGGAGTGGTGACACATGCCTTTAATCCCAGCACTTGGGAGGCAGAGGCAGGCTGATTTCTGTGTCCGAGGCCAGCCTGGTCTACAGAGTGAGTTCCAGGACAGCCAAGGATATACAGAGAAACCCTGTCTCAAAGAAAAAAAAAAGAAGAAAAAGATGAAGAAGAAGAGGAGGAGGAGGAGGAGGAAGAGGAGAAGGAGGAGGAGAGGAAGAGGAAGAGGAAGAAGAAGAAATAGCCTATGAATCTCTCCCCAGATGGCTTCAGCCCGTTGATAGGGATCCCCTCCGTGGCTATGCATCCTGAGGCTGCTCACTACTTAGACTGAGAAGTGACGATGTCCGCTATGGCCGCAGGTTTTGTAAGCTGTAGCACAGAGGTCTTGTCTGTTGGCTCAGTCTCCCCGGCCTGTGTAACCTAACTTGGCAAAGGCTGCATTCCATAGTGAAGCCACCTATCTGTCCACCAGACACATTCTCATGACACATTCCTCCAGGTTTGTCCCCAGAAACAGACCCATCTGAATAGTGAAGTGTAGCTAGGTACTCCACTGCAGTAGATCTAGGATGTGTCCGTATCTTACTCATTGCTACATCCCCAGCACCTGAAGGATTGCCTGGCAAGGAGCGTGCTGCATGAAACCTGGGGCTGGAGATGTGTGGCCCAGACCAGCCACGTCCCCGGCCAGAGCCGCTTCCCAGCCCCACAGTAACTCCTTCTCCAGAAGCTGCTGCTGTGGAGAACAGCAGACAGGGAGTCATTCATAAGGGATCTTCAAGCCCACAAGGATTGCATTTTCTTCTGTATGTTTCGAAACCGCATCAAATGGCCTTCGTCGGGCAGTCACAGCAGAAGAAATGATGGGGGGTTTTGGTTTTGGTTTTGGGAGTTGTTTTGTTTTGTTTTGTTTTGTTTTTATTCCTCCGCTCTGTTTATTTACAAAAGACTTCACTAATGAAGCCACACTGGAGAATGAGGAAGGAAGCTGGCTCGAATTCCATCTGATCCAATTATGCTGGGCACTCTCTGGGGAAAATGAGCGGAATAATGAGTGGGCCTGGCCTCAGGGAGGGAGGCATTCCTCTCTCAACTACCCCCCACCTCTCTCCTGGCCAATGACAGCCCACCTGTCCTGCCTATGTTCTAGGCCCAAGGCAGGCCTGTCCAGCTCCCATGCTGTCTTTTTGAACACAGGTTCTGTCTCAGCTAGGGCTAAGCCTCTCCCAAGGGCCTCTCCCTTTGCTGAGACCCCATTCTTCACGGTGACAGAAATGACAATGACCTGAGAGATGCAAGTGCACTTCCAGAAATTATGATAGATCCGTCTGTGCCATTGGGCCTGACAGATTAATAATCCAGTTCTGATTCCAGGCCAGGCCTGTTTCTCCTGATGGGAGAAGAATAAACCCATTCCAAGGCTAAAGACACAACTCTGTGGTAGAGGGCTTGCCCAGCAACTGTGAGTCTCTGCCACAGAGTTGAACAATTACACTTGTGCACCATTAATGAGTTAGTTGGATATGGTGGCACACACTTGTTATCCCGGCACTCAGACTGAGACAGGAAGGAGCTGATGAGTCTAAGGCTGGTCCACACTACACAATAGCAATTCCCTGCAATGGAAGGATGGACAGAAGGGGGGAAAGAAGGAAGGAAGGAAGGAAGGAAAGGAGGGAGGGAGAGAGGAAAGGAGGGAGGGAGGGTAGATGGATGGATGAAAAGATAAAACAAGGAGCCTGAGATGTAGCTCATTCTGTAGAGTAGTTGCCCAGTATGTGGGCTCTGAGTTCGATCCCCAGCATAAACTAACTTGGCAGTGCGTGCCTGTGATCTTGAGCACTAGATGGTAGAAAAATCAGGAGCTCAAGGTTAGCCTAGGCTGCATGAGACTTTGCCTCAAAATAAGCCAGAAAAGTTGCAGTCTGAAATGTCTGAAGTCACTGATCTTTTCTTTCTCCTGCAGAGGTCTCTGTGTCAGAGTCTCCTGCTCGGAGCTTGGCCTCTTGTCAGCTCTAAGACTGGGCTCTGTAGCTCAGCCCACCACCACCTCACGCACCCTCCCCCGCCCCCACTTCCCCTCTGACCCCATCATTCTCAGTACTCTTACACCAGTAACCCAGACCAGAACCAATATAGTGTATGTAAAGGCCAGGCACGAAGGGCCGACAGTTCCCCAGTCAGAACCCCGCCCCCTCAACCAGGTCCAGTCTCTCAGTCTACCGTGGCTCACTCTCCAGAACTGTTTCCTGCAGCTCCCCAGCAGCCTATGGGAACCTGTGGGAAGAAGCTCCTGAGTGGTTTTGACCTGATGGCTTCCAGTCTGTCCCAGGGCCAGCTACAGTCCTGGCCCTCCTGGAGCCAGAAGGGTGGTGTGCCAGAGAGGAGTTTAATTGCAGCAGGCCTCAGTTTCCCTGTGTGAAGCTGCATTGTCTGTAAAGGAAGCAAGGCCTGAAGGGGCCCAAGAGCAGACCCAGGGCTAGGGCTCGGTCCTACCATGGCTGCCACTGTCCTGTACAACTCAGGATACCAACCTGAATCTCTGGCTTGCTGTCCCAGAAAGAGGCAGCCTCCAGTTTGGGGATCCTACTCCTCAGGTTGAGAGATGTTTGTCAGAAGACAGAGGTGAGAGAGAACATGATAGTGAAGCTGTTTGCTTCACTTCACCCAAGGCAAAAATAAAGGCAGGCTGCATCCAGAGAAGGATGTGCTGGCCCTTCTATTTCAGACAATGACTGCTCTCCTGGCTAAAAACAACATGAGACCCTTTCTCAAGACAAACAGAACAACCTGAGACCTCAGCCCCGAAGGCTGGGGACTACAGCTGGCTAGCCTGGTCACTGGCCCCAGGAGGGGTAGGACAGCTTTCCACACAGAGAAAGTGCTAACAGACACAGACGCCCAGGAGGATCTCAGCCGAGATACATCTGTGCTCACAGCCCTGTTGTGTTTAAGAGGAAAGCAATGGATTCTCTTTACTTCCATCGCTCATCACAGACACCAGCCGAACCACCTGCTTGCGGACCATGGCCAACCTCGAGCGAACATTCATTGCCATCAAGCCAGATGGCATGCAGCGCGGCCTGGTGGGCTAGATCATCAAGCAATTCAAGCAGAAGGGGTTCCGCCTGGTGGCCATGAAGTTCCTTCGGGCTTCTGAAGAACACCGGAAGCAGCATTACATTGACCTGACAGACCGTTCTTTCTTCCCGGGGCTGGCGAAGTACATGAACTCAGGGCCCGTGGTGGCCATGGTCTGGGAGGGGCTCAATGTGGTGAAACAGGCCGAGTGATGCTGGGAGAGACCAATCCAGGTGATTCTAAACCAAGTACCATTCGTGGGGATTTCTGCATTCAGGTTGGCAGGAACATCATGGCAGCGATTCAGTGGAGAGTGCTGAGAAAGAAATCCGTCTATGGTTTAAGCCGGAAGAACTGATTGACTACACATCTTGTGCCCGTGACTGGGTGTGTGATTAGATGTGGAGAAAGCAGTCCTTTTCAGCACTACTGATGCGTTCCTGGACACAGCTATTCATCCCACTGACTGGATGGATCATCTTTGCTAAAACAATAAAGACTTTGGAACAGGATGGGGAGGAAAGCAATGAAGGGAAGTACCAGCCACTACTGGGAGCCAAGATGCCCCTTGGGGGTATCAGGGCAAGGCATGCAGGGAGGCAGGGGGCTGGCAGAGCTCAGTGTACAAGGAGTTCTCCAGGCTAAGGGAAGAGCTATGGAGAGAGAGAGAGAGAGACCAGAACAAGAGGTGGGAGATGGGGGGGAGGGGGACACAACCACGGGGACTCCTCTCATGCTGATGACCTGTGCAAGGTACATCTTGGGTAGTCCAAGTGGACTCAGTAGTCAACTGCAGGTTTAACCCAAAGGGAATTCCCATTCCGAGTCAGCTGCCCGCACCTCCATCCAGGGCAGGAATCCATGGAGGAAATCCAGCTAGGTCTTCTGTGAGTTCAGGACGTCCTGGGCTCTGGGAACACCTTGGCTGCCTCAAGCCTTCCAGCGGAGCAAGGTCACCCTAGTTCCTTCAGGCTGGTGGCTAGTGTGGCCGGGGATAAAGGAACTGGAGGTCCTGACAAAAAGAAGGCTTTGGGTTTCATTTGTCCATTGCACAGTGGAAGGACTCTAAGCCAGCAGAGCTGGGGACAGCTTTAGCTAGTGCACATGTCGCAGGAGAGGGTCAAAACCAGGGTACACAAGTTGTCTCCACCAGCTTGGCACCACCTCTCAGAAAGGCAGAGGGCGACCTGGCATCGAGCAGGCATATCTGCCTGGCAGAGCATACTTGCCCATCAATCCCCAGCGAGGGGAGAGCAGCTGGGCTGGAAGCCTGGCGGTTGATCGATATCTCCTGCTTTAAAAATAAAGTTCTTGGCTTGGCCTTGACATTAATCTAGCATCCGGAGCCCATTATCTTAAGACCAATGTTCTGTGCCATTGACCAGCCGGAGTTTTCCTCTTCCCCACCGTCAGAATAGAACGGCATTGCCCAGACTGCACCTCTGCTGACTCCCACCCTGGGAAATGGCACAAAGGACATCCTGCATCCATCCTGGCAGGAGGTAGAAAGACCCAAGACCCTTTGAGAGCCCCAAATGGGTTAGGAGGTGAAGTCGTGCCCCCAGCAAGGGTGCTGCACAGAACAGGAGTCATCCTGTGCTAGTCTCTCAGTCCACAGGAGACAGAATGTATAAACATGGTCAGGGGTATCCCGGAAACAGCTGGAACCCTCCACGTCCAAAGCTACTGTAGCCTCCATTCTGAACTATAGCGTCTGCCTGGGACCACACCCACTGCGTTCCATGAGCAGAGCCAACTTTGTAAAGTTGAATGGTATGAAGACATCCTGTCTAGCCATACCCCATGAGCCTGTGCCTTCCCTTCCCCCACACCCCACTGGGCGCCAGGCCTCCGATGTCCACGGTCCAGCGTCTGCGCCTGCCCCTGTACACGCTTGCTGTTCTCTTCACCTTGCGGTATTTTTCTGTGCCGTTCTGAGTTTGGGACTTGTGAACCCACGCAGGCTGCGTGCTGGCATCTGAGGGCATGGAGACATTAGGATAGAGGCGTCACCTTTGTCCTCTCTTCTCCCCCTACAGGTGTGGATGTGTGGGGGCCGCATGGAGGACATCCCCTGCTCCAGAGTGGGTCACATCTACAGGAAGTATGTGCCCTACAAGGTCCCTGCCGGAGTCAGCCTGGCCCGGGTAAGGTGGTAGCTTTCCAGGGGGTTGGGGGAAGCCTGTGGCAGCATGGAGGCCCTCTGAGACTCCAGGCTAAATGGTTGATAGATGATTTCCAAGTGAAATCCAACCAAAAGGAACTTCCGTAAAGCCCTGCCTGGCCACATGGAGGCTGTGACTGTCCAGGGCCACATGGAGGCAGTGACTGTTCTCCGCAGCTGGGTTTAGAGCTTTGGTGAAACGAAGTTGATCCTTTCAGATAATTTTAGCACCGCAAAAAGACAGGAAACGGATGTGTTGGGTGGAGTGACCTGGTCATTTCACAGGAGAGTTACTTGGGGTGGAGTTAATGGAGGTACAAAACTAGTCCGGGGTAATTTAAAGAAACATGTCGGGCAGGCATAGTGGTGTTCTTTTATGTTGAAAACCTTGGTGGGAGGCAGGAGGGAATAAATAAATAAACGGCTGTCTTCTTCACCCTCCTCCAAATCATGTAAAACTGTGATTGACCTGAAAACCATATCAGGGGTTGAAACTGCTGCTGACTACAAGGGGTAATCATTAGCAAAAGATTTAGGGATACAGGGTTCTTTTACTGGGGAAATAAATTTTATTGGAAAATAAAGAAATAAAGGGAACCTCAAAACTAAATGAAGGAGGTGCCTCTGAGAAGACACGGTGCTGTTTGGGGGTACTAGAGAGGCCAGAGTGCAGCGACATACCCCAAAAATAACCTTGGGGAACCTTCTGCCCTGGGTTCCCAGCAGACCTTAACAGAGAGCCCTTTTCCCAGCTTTAAATACTGCTGAGCTGGAACGTGGCCTCGAAGGCAGGGCAGCAGAACCCTCTAGTGGTGAATGTCTCTAATGACAGCCTCCAGGCCTGCTGCTCTGTGTACATCCCCTTAACTTGGGAGCTGGGTTCCAGATAAGACCCACCGAGAGTTGGAAATCTTCCCAGATGCCATTAGCCTTCCTTGAGGAATGCCAAACAGGGAAACAGAACCAGTGTTTTCATAAGCTAGCTACTCTTGGAGGCTACCAGGAACATAGGGACAGTGACCCCTGAGCAGGACCCCACTCCCCAACTTCATCCTTTCCCAAGCCAGAGATGACTGCCAGGGTGTTGGAGGGCTGCAGTGCCACCACATAAGCCTGCCTTCCAGCCAGGCGCCCTGCAGCGTAGGGACCCACTGACCTCCCTTCTGCCTGGGTTCTATCCTCTGCTTCCTGGATGGAGATGAAATGCTTTAAACAACTCAAACTCCAGCTTGGACCTGCCCAAGTCTGACAAGCACCTGCATCTGTTGCCTAAACACTGTGATATACACACAGGTGTTGGTGGCTGCATCCCTGTGAACAGCTGAGGCTGGTCACGTGAGCTGAATCACGTTAAGGTATTCAACATCTTTGGCCGTCTGTCCTCAGTCATATCCTGTGTTTGACATGAGCTAGCCCCCGTAGTACATCCCACCTCTTCCCTGTAAAGCCAACCATCACCTTTATGGCTGCACACGAGGTACCTGTGCCCACTGTGACTACGGCACACTGCCGTCCTTTAGTTTCAGTTCACATGCACCGTGTTTGCTTGTCCCAGTGTTCCGGAATCTGAGACAAAGGGAGTGGGGAGTTCAAAACCTGCTCAGGCTTCACAATCAAGATCCTGTCTCCAAAGACAAAAATAAGTCGACTCACTTTTTGAGCAACGAAATTCACAGGCTTCTAGCACACTTGCTTCCTAATGACATGTAGGGCCCTGAGAGAGCCAGCATGCTCTTTTAGTGGCACATCTGCCCCTCCAATAAACAGTGGGTCTTACTGCACAGGCCCATCACTGTAACTGAAAGGCAATCCTGCAGTGGATGGAGGGGTCAGGCCTTGATAGGCAGGCCAGTGAAGGAGGAGATTCCCTGTGTTCTAGATTGTTCCTGATGTGAAGGGTCCTGAGGTCTTCCACTTCCACCAGGCCCAGCATTTGCTGCACAGGCATCCAGAGAAGTGAACTCTCTTTCCAGTGGGGTTGGTGGCAGCAAGGAGCTTGGCTGTCTCTGGGATCTACCACAGGGTTCCTTCCCATGCATGGCCTCCCTGGTGTCACCATGCCTCCCTACTCTCCAGAGAAGGTGACTTTCTGCTTGACTCAAGAGCTAAGAACAGTTTTTCACAGTTTTAAGCAACTGGAGGAGAATCCGTGACACTTGAAAATCAAACTGCGGTTGACATCATAAAGTTTTATTGGTGCCTGGCCCCACTCCCTCGTTTACATAGACCCTGTCTGTTTCACAGTCCCAACGAGCCTTGAGACCATCTGGTCTCCAGAACTCAGATCCCCATCAGAAAACACTAAAACATTTGCCCAGCCCCGCCATGCAGTCTGCTCCTAAAGCAGACCTTTACACACAGGTGTGACTGATTGCACTTCAGAGGAAAACTCAGATTAATCTCAAGATAGACGTCAAGCCCACCCAATTACATGGGTGTCCTGAGGGAGGGGAGAGGCACGTCCAAGCCGTTGAAAGAAGCCTGGGTTTGAAGGAAGAGGTTTCTAAGGAGGGGCTTCCGCTGGACCCTATAGACTCGTGCTCTTAGTTTTGACCAGAGTCTGCACAAGATCTTAACCCTCCTGTCCCCACACCCTTCTGCCCAGAGCTACCTCCCCCTGCAGCTACATCCAGTTGCCATTGGTTGTTGTTTTATAGTTGGCTGTCCTGAAGCTTCATAGTAAAACTCTCAAACCTGCTGGATTGTTAGAAATCCCACCTGCTGGTGGGATTGAACCTTCTGAGTGCAAATTATTCTTGTCATGGAATTTGGTCAGAACTGTTGTTTAAAAATGTCAGAAACCGGGCTGGAGAAGTGGCTCAGTGGTTAAGAGAACTGACTGCTCTTCCAGAGGTCATGAGTTCAAATCCCAGCAACCACATGGTGGCTAACAACCATCTGTAATGGGATCCGATGCCCTCTTCTGGTGTGTCTGAAGACAGCTACAGTGTACTCATATACATAGAATAAATAAAAAGACAGATAGCCAACTCAAATTGGCTTTGACGAGCAGGAGAGGTGGCTTAAGAGTGTTCAGTGTACAGGTATGACCATCTGAGTTTAGATCCCAGCACCCACATAAAAAGCCAGACCACAGACACCTGTAACCACAGCCGATCCAGGGAAAAGACACAGGATAACTGGGGTTTGCTGGTTACTATCCTAGCTCCAGGCTCAGTGAAAGACCCTGTCTCAAAAAATAAGGTACAGGGGCTGACGGATGAGATGGTTCCAGGCTAGCCCAGACAGGGGCTGTCGAGATGGTTCCAGGCTAGCCTGGGCTCCTCAGCATGCTTGACCCTTGCAGTCATCTCTCATTCCAGAACCTGAAGCGAGTGGCAGAGGTATGGATGGACGAATATGCAGAATACATCTACCAGCGCAGACCGGAGTACCGCCACCTCTCAGCTGGAGATGTCGTGGCCCAGAAAAAGCTCCGAGGCTCCCTCAACTGTAAGAGCTTCAAGTGGTTTATGACCAAAATTGCCTGGGACCTGCCCAAGTTCTACCCGCCTGTGGAACCCCCGGCTGCGGCATGGGGGGAGGTGAGTGTGGAGCGAGGGGCTGGACACACACTGAGGGAGCTTGCCGGGAACACCTAAATGTCACAGTCCTTTCTTCCCTTCCTCTCTTGGACCCTGTCCTGGTGGCGTTGATTTTTTTGTGCCATTGTGCTATTGAATGTTCTGCCGAGCTGGATCATCATCCATTTTTCCTTTTGTCTATGAGATACTGCTGGATTTGGTTAGGTTTCTAATGTCCTTTGGCTTTTGAGGCCGGGGACAGAAACCCAGGACCTTTCAAGTTCTAAGCCATGCTCTTGGGTGAGCCATGCACACAGCCTGTGGTGCACATTGGAAATGCAGACTAAGAGTATACAGATCAGGTTCAGAACAACTGAGTAAATAAATGCCCTCATCTCTCCCTCACCCTCCTGTGGGCTTCAGGACTTCTCTCTGGAACCTCAGAAGCCTGCTGTTGCTACCGTGCCTCTTGGTGATGTGTGCAGCCCAGAGCTCCAACCTGACCGCCAGCCTTCATGGCTGACGTATGGGCCAGGGCCACTCTGGTTCTTTGGAGTGGGTTGGGGAGAACCCCCACTTCTCGTGCCATCTCTTACCCGAAAGGATAATTCTACATGGACGGCAGAGATCTTGCACCCCTTTTGAATCCCTTCCGAGATGCTGTCCCTGGACACCTGCCCCTTCAGGCCCTTGGAATTGGGGTCAAAAATGGCTCCTGGATCTGTTGGATGGGGTGCTCTCAGTGTGGGGCAAGAGAAAGACCTTGGCCTCCAGGCTACTCCTTTCTCCTGGAGGACCCTCCAGCACCCTGGGCAAGTTCCTCACGGGCAGTTTGAAGTTCAGCCCTATCTTGGATTTCTGCCTTAGTCTCCCCAGCATCCAGCAGGGCCCAGTGGACGCCTTGAGGTGTCTCAGTGGCTGGTCGTTTTCTCCCTCAGATTCGCAATGTGGGCACAGGACTGTGCACAGACACGAAGCACGGCACGTTGGGCTCCCCGCTAAGACTCGAGACCTGCACTCGGGGCCGTGGGGAGGCTGCCTGGAACAGCATGCAGGTAAGGGCCACTTAAAGGAACTCTCAGGTCCCAGGTCAGTTGTCAACCAGATGAGTCTTGGAACTTCCAAAGTACCCGGGAAGGGGGAAGGGGGTAAGTGCTCATGACAGGTCTCACTGTCCACCTGGACTGTCCCATAAACTCCTGCCCCCATGCCTGTGACCAATAGACAACTTTGACTCATTTCACTAATAAGTTGTGTGTGTGTGTGTGTGTGTGTGTGTGTGTGTGTGTGTATGCATGTGTGCGTGTGTCTGCTCTGGTTTCTGTTACTATAACTCAGTGCCGTGTACTGAGTACTTTATAAAGAATGACAGTTATACTTGGAGTTCTCATGGTTCTGCAGACACAAGAGGATGACCTCTGGCCAGGTCTGTCAGGGATCTTTCTGCAGAGTAATGACTCACAGGCCACTGCCTCAGAAGACAGCATGTGCTGCCTGCCCCGTGTCTGTCTTATTCTGCTTATAAAATCCTAGGACTGGCCGGTGAGATGACCCAGCCAGTAAAGGTACTTGCTGCCTTGCAGGGCTAAAAAAAAAAGATGTGTTTAATCCCCAGAACTCAGGGTAGCAGGTGAGAACCAAATCCCCAAAGTTGCCCCCGACCAACACATTCGTGCTGTGACACATGCAAAACATACACACACATACACTGTATACTTTTAAGAAATAAATAAATAATAAACAAATTTTTAATCAAGTTCTCACTTTGTAGCCCTGGCTGTCATGGAGCTTGCTACGTAGACCAGGTTGGCCTTGAACTCACAAAGATCCATTCACCACACCTAGCCTGAAAAAAATAAATTTGAACAAACAAACAAACAAACAAAAACACTGGGAAAACAAAGGCTGGGGATGCAGCCTTACTAGAGTGATTGCCTAACGTGTAAAGCCCTGGATTTAATCCTCAACACCACATGGCGGCACACACCTATAGTTAATCCCAGCGCTCTAGAGGCTGAGGCAGGAGGTGGGAGGTCAAGGCTAGCCTGTGCTATGTGAGATACGGTAACTTGCGTTCCTCCCAAAGGCAGCAGATCCCCTCGGCCTGCGTCCCCGGCAGCTCTCCATCACCATTTGTTTCCTTGTTCGTACGAATTACAGACAGGCACACGTGCTAAAGCATGTGTAATGTTCACTGCCCTCTTGAACACCGAACCACACACTGCAAGCCCTGCTGATGGAAACCAGTCTAACAGTAGATGCCATCTCAAATACTAGTAGTAATTAATAATAAGTTTTCAGGGCGGGGGCATTGTCAGTGTTTGCTCCCTCTAGCGATGTTCTGTGTATGCAGGTCTTTACCTTCACCTGGCGAGAGGACATCCGGCCTGGAGACCCTCAGCACACCAAGAAGTTCTGCTTCGACGCTGTCTCCCACACCAGCCCAGTCACCCTCTATGACTGCCACAGCATGAAGGGCAACCAGCTGTGGAAATACCGCAAGGTGGGGCTCCGTGTGGGATGGGAGACCCGAGTACCTCCTTGTTAGCTTGTTGGTTTTAAAGGTTGCAGTGCCTCCTGCTTCTCCCCACAGATCTTGCCCACTCATCCTGCCCTGCCGTTAATCTGGCCCGGAGAGAGAGGGGGCAGAAACCCAGATTCGTGCATTTTAAAAAGGAAGCCAAGCTGGGGTGTGGTGGTGCACATCTTAAATGCCAGCACTAGGGAGGAAGAGGCAGGCAGATCTCCGTGAGATGGAGGCCACCCTGATCTACATAATGAGCTCTAGGTCAGCCCTAGCTACACAGTGAGACCCTGAAACAAAAAGGGAGAAAGAAAAAAAGAAAGAGAAAGAAAGGAAGGGGAAAGGAGGATGCATGCACTCAGCCGTTCCATACAGCAGGGACGCAGTGGCACTCAGGTTGGAAGCAGGCAGTGCAGAAGGTCCTGCTTAGAGGCAGCATTCATCACGAGGTGACAGGAGATGCTGGGCCTTGCTTCCTTGTTGCTGTCATAGATGCTGTGCTCCCCCGCTGACTGCCAACCTTCCTGTTCTGTAGGACAAGACTCTGTACCACCCCGTGAGCGGCAGCTGCATGGACTGCAGCGAAAGTGACCACCGGATCTTCATGAACGCCTGCAACCCCTCCTCCCGCACCCAGCAGTGGCTCTTTGAACATACCAACGCTACGGTCTTAGAGAATTTCAACCGGAACTGAGTCAGTCCTTAGACCTCCTTGACAAGCCCCTCAGGTTGCTGTGGAGCTCATAAACCTTCCTCCTGTGGGGGAAGAAGCATCTCTGGGCACCAAGGTGCTGGGCCAAATGGCTTGAGACAGAGGGTTCCTGAAGTACTTTTGTGCTAGGGCCACAGGGAGAACAGATCATACAAACAGCTCTCCAAGAAGGCAGGGCCTGCTTACGTCATAGCAGGACTCACCAGCCTGTCAGCATGTCCCCTAGGTGTTAGGAATCACCTGGGCAGCCTTGCCCAGTCCTCAGGCTACTTCCAGACAGGACAGTGCCCTAGAAAGAAATGTGGTATTAGTCTTGGGGCAGCCTTTAAGCCTATATGCTAACTGCTGACAAGGAAGTCTGCCCGTGTGGGAGTGAGCTGCCAGTACTGCCCAGCTTCAGTGTTGGTCCAGGGCATTGAGAGTCTACTGGGACCTCAGAGTGCTCCATAGCTAGCGCTGGCCAGCAATCAGGCAAGGGGCCCCTTACTCTGCAGCCAGATGTAAAGGACGTCTCCCCTGGCTCTCTGGGTATTTCAGATGCCTGTTCTAGTTTCAGAGGTATCTGGGCACCAAGTTGTCAGGGCTAACTCAGCTGGCAAAGTAGACCTCCAGACCGAACAGCTCCCAGCCGATGCTTCCAAAGCCCTTTTTTCTCTGCTTTCCTTGGCAGCTCCTTGCCTTGGAGAGGAACAGTGCTGGGAGGTGCTCACCTCTAGAGCTCCCTGGGGGCAGCTTCCCCCAGATCATGACTGTTGTGGTCCCAACCTCACAGAACCCTGGAGTTTCTGAAAAGTGCTGTGGTTCTGTCGAAAGCAACAATGAGCCATAGCATGTGTGAGCATATAACTCGAGCAGCCAGGTATCAGGCAACCCCTCACCCAAGCGGAGGCAGTGGGGCACCAGAAGCTTTGGTACAACCCAATGCCTGGCCATCACAGCCTTGTGAGGAGTGAAAACATGGCCTTTAACCCCATGTCTCAAACAAGAACTCAGCCTCCAAGGATTTGGTCACTTGATCTTGTCATTTGCCAGTGAAGTAACTGAGATGTGGTCCTGGGGCCAGAGCTCTGCCTTTGAGATGCTGGGATCAAGGTCATAGAGTACCCAGGTTGGCCAGGTGGCTGGTGCAGAGCCACCTCCACGGCAGCCCCTGTGTTGTCACAGCTCGCTTGTGGATTTCTAGTGTCCTTTTCCATATGAGCATTCTACCTGACAAGTGGCCAGCTGGGAAGGAGTCAAAAAAGGGTATGGGGGAGGTGTCTAGAATCCAGCAGGGATGCATTGCAGCCAAGGGGCCTTGAGTCCTCAGAGAGCAATGCAGCCTCGTTTCAATAAAAACCGTGCCTTTTACAAAGAGAAAATGCAGCTGAGCAGCTGATTCCCTAAACTTGAACCACTTCCTAGTGCCTTGCTAGACAAGCAGACAGGGGCGGGTGGAGGAGGGGTGCTTATGCAGGTCCTATGAGTGTCTTTATGTCTGACTTCAAGCAGGGAGTGCTGAGCCGAACCTGAGACCCAGAGGCCCCCATGACAGGGTCAACTGCCTCTCTGTGCAGACCTCCCTGAGACAGGTCAGCTGTAGTAGCCTACAAGTTCTAGAGACCTGACAACCCTGGGGGTAGGGAGGTGCTGACCCCCCCCCTCCCAGCAGTGCTCTGCCTGTCCCTCACTCTCAGGGGCGAGCTGAGCAGCTGGATTCCAGGTGAGGCCAAGCCAGTGGTTAAGGCAGATGCTGCTGCAAGCCGCCCCTAGCCTCGCTCACCTGATTCATTCCATTCTCATCTGGTTCATCCCCTTCTCCAGTGGTCCCTTCCTCTGAGCTCACCTCAGCATTTGAGACTGCTGAACTCTGACCTTAGAGCCTAAGACTTGAGGAGGCGTGTGACAGGAAAGACCAGGTTGGCTTGGTGGCTGGCTGCAGATACTTAATTCCCACCTTGTTTTGGCTTCAGGTGTGGAAATCCTTGTCCCGAAGAGTGAGGTTTCTACTCTGCAGGGGCAGAAGGGCCTGTGGACTTGCCACAGCCCAAGCAGCAGGCCAGGCACCTGGCCGCTTTTCCTCCAAAGCTTTATTCAGAGGCTAAGACTGCAAAACAAGATATGGTGAGAAAGGCAGCCTCCCTGAAGATTCCAGAAACATTTTGGAATGCGGTGTCCTTGCTATGAGGCCCTTGTGTGGCAAGCTGTCTTACCCTGCCCTGCCAACTGGAGCTTCTGGCTTTAAAAGCAGCCAGCAGTGATAGACGTTCTGTGGCAGCAGTGGGCTGCTCTCTGATGGGCAGCCTAGTGGATTTCCAAAGTCAGCATCATGACTCCCTTCAGTCCTTCCTGTTATGCTCCTCCCTGTGTGTAGCCATGAAGTGCAGACCCTGCTTCTCACAGATGAAGCTGTCTGCATCCAGTGCTCAGGGCGGCGTGTTTGTCTAAAGTCAGGCATTGTGGAAGGGACAAAGTGTGCAGTTCCACTCTGAATTCATCAATTCATGCGTTCTACGGCAAATCCTAGTCATGTTTTGGTTCAAGGTTTTGATGCTGAGCCAGGGCCCTGCTGCCACCATTGGGTGAGAGTGGTAGCTACATCCCAGGTCTCAAGATCTTAACGCATTCCACTCTGCTCTGACAGGAAGCCCTTGGGCTGCAGGCAGGGAAGCTGGGCACTGAGACAGGGTTCCTTGGGGAAAGCCCAAGACCACCCACCTGTCCTGGAAGAGTGAGCTTTGTAAAGAATGACTTACCATGTTCAGTTGTGACTGTGGTTGTCCAATAAACCTCCAGACTTTCTCTAAAGCGGTGTCTGGCATGTCCCTTGTCACCTGCCTTTCTGTCCATGTCCTCAGAAGACTGGGTACCCGCCCAGCGTCCAGATGTCCTGCAGGGTACCAAACCAAGTTCATGTGCTGCCGTTTCTACAGGGAAAGGCAGATCAGAACAGGGATGACTAGTTACAAAGGGCTGAGAAGGGTAGCTAAGCCGACTGTCTTAGAAACTGGGATGAAACCATCAGGAAACAACCCCTCAGAGCCAAAAGACCAAGCCAAGAAGAGGGCAGAGGGCAGCCCTTGCAAAGGCCATGAGATAGAATGAGGCTCGGGTCTGAAGGAGTACAGGGGTGAACTCCACACTCAGCCTTCTAGATTAGAGCAGAAGGGAGAGAGTTCCAGAGGGCAAACAAACTGAGCTCACCCATTAGCCACAAGTAACCCTGTTTACCAAAGCGTTTCCTGGCTGTTTAGCATCTCTAGAACCATGACTAAAACATCTTCAATGAGATCTCATGCAACTCCTACTCTCATTAGGCCTCAGTTCACAGTGAAATAAGCAGTGCTTGAACATGGGCTGTCCCAGAGGAACCCTGAGCAGAAACTAACTGTTCCTGGTGTTGTTGCTCACCAACCACCAGAGGGCGCTATGAACCATAGCTTGGAGAAGGTCACAGAGATGTGTCTCACCTTGGGAACCAAGCATGCATGGTGCCCATGCATACATACAGGCAAAAGCATTCCTACAATAAAATAAATCCTGTTCTTAAAATAGTTTTTTAAAGGGCTGGTGAGATGGCTCAGTGGTTCAGAGCACCTGTTGTTCTTGCAGAAGACCCAGGTTCCTAACACGAACGTGGTGGCTCTCAACTGTTTGTAAGCCCAGCTCCGGAGGATCCAGTGCCCTCTTCTGGCCTCCATAGGTACTAGGCAGGTACATGATGCACAGACATGAGGCAAAATATAATAAAATATTTTTTTAAAGAAAGTTTTCTTAAGTGCCCAGAAAATTGTGACCCAATGGTGAATGACAAAGAGAAGTACCACGTGCCTACTGTGCACAGACACACAAGTGCCTACTGTGCACAGACATTCAGATAGAAATTAAAAGATGGGGGGGGGGTGTAAGCAAGTGTTGGACTCTAAGATCCAAAACCAGGGGACGCGCTCCCGCAGAAACACTCACAGATGGGATTCGCTGTAAAAAACATGAGGTTTAATGATAATAATAACCGGTGCACCGGGGTTCCTTCACACGCAGGCAAGAACCCTGAGCCAAAGTTGGAAACAGTTTTTATACAGAGTTCAGAGGGCAACCACAAAGGCTGACCTTCCCAGGTCGGATCTCTAGGTGACTCAGATTTGTACATTATTTTTATGACAATGAGTGTCTTCCGTTTGCCCAGGTTTATTATGTTAAGGGCCCAGCTGCCTGACCACCTCCCATCCTGGGCCCCTCTCCTGGAATGTGTCTACGTGCTCTGGGCCTGCCTCACCCAAAGGTGGGTTCCCTCCCCTGTGGTCTGAGGAAGGTTAATCAGCCTCTCCCTTCTTCCTCTGAATATTAATCCAGTAAGTGTCCTCTGACTAAGAAATGTGTTCCTTCCGGAATGTGTCCTGGGACAGTGGGATTTTAAGTTTGAACTAAGACCTGAAATTCCTACATTTGGTTCCTACACAAGAAGCAGAGCGGATGGCTGAGAGGATCTGCACTCCCATGTGATCCTTCTTTACTCTCACACGGTTCAACTGCATGGCTTTGCCAACATGTAGGGAGATGCTAGGCTTAGTCATTTGCTTGCTTGTTAAAAAATACATCTGTACATGTATATAGAGTTACAGATTGTGTGTGTCTTCTTCCCACGCGGGTGCTGAGAACAAGATTTGGGTCATCCGCAGGAATAACAATCTTAGCCAACCATCCAGCTCTCCAGCTCCCAAGGTATTTTTTAAATCCCTTTGTATCCATTGTCCACTCAGAAATCCATGCGACCAATACTAGCCTTTCATTCAGTTTCAGGTAGCCCAGGCTGGTACAGCACGCCCATAACTCTAGCACTCAGGGATGCTGAGGCAGGAGGATTATGAATTCAAGTCCAGCCCAGACAACATTATGAGACCCCTGACTCAAACCAAACAAGTGTTATTTGTCTGCTGTGTACAGACTGCCAGAGGCCCGCTCCAATTCTGTAGTCTATCAAGAACAGGCACTGAAGGAATGGTTGGTCTTAGGTCTAGATGAGCTTCACAAAGGAGACAAAGCCTTGAGAATTTATGACCCTGTGGGTCCAGAGGGATGCTGAGGCCTCCAAGTTCTCAGAATGAAATCACCTACTGTGATGGTTTAAATAAGAATGGCCCCATAGACTTTTAGGGTGGAGTTGAGGGAAGGATGGAAGGCCCTGAAGGAGATAGGCAGGAAGACCAACAGAGTCAATTAACTGGACCCTTGGGAGCTCTCAAAGACTGAGCCACCAACCAGAGAGCATACATGGGCTGGACTAAGGCGCCCCCACCCCCAATCCCAACAGATGTAGCTCAGTCTCCATGTGGGTCTCCAACAACTCAAGTGGAGGCTCTCCCTAAAGCTGTAGCCTGACTGTGGTATCCATTTCCCAACAGCTCTGCCTTGTCTGTTCTCAATGGGAAAGGATGCGCCTAATCCTACAGAGACTTGATATACAAGGTCGGGGGTTGCCCAGAGGGAACCCCACCATCTTAGAGGAGAAGGGGAGGGACTTTGTTGCAGGGTGGGGACTAAAGAATGGCCTCCATAGGTTCATATATTTGAATGCTTAGTCATCAGGGAGGGGCCCTCTTAGAGACAGGAGGTATACCTTGTTAAAAGACTGTCTGTGTGGGGGCTGGGGATGATATTTCAAAAGCCCATGCCAAGTCCAGCTCTGTCGTCTGCCTCCCTCCTCCTCCCTCTCTCTCTCTCTCTCTCTCTCTCTCTCTCTCTCTCTCTCTCTCTGTCCCTGTGTGGGGTGTGTGTGTGTTTCTCTCCCTCTCCTTCCCTCTTTCTCTCCCTCCCTCCCTTGTAGATCAAGATTGTAACTCAGTTACTTCTCTAGCACCACAGCTGCCTGCTGTCATGCCCTCTGCCATGATAATAGACTAAGCCTCTGAAACTATAAGCAAGCCCCAGTTAAATGCTTTCTTTTATAAGAGTTACCTTGTCATGGTGTCTCTTCCCAGCAATAGAACAGTGACTAAGATAGCTACACACTGGGAAACTGAGGTGAGTTCAGTGAAGGGCCTGCTTAAAAATGGTGTTTGATGGGGCCCAGAGAGACACACACCTCAGCAGTTAAGAGCACCCAAATGGTGGCTCACAGTCAGTGGCAACTCCAGTTCCAGGGGATTTGGTGCCCTCTTCTGGCCTCTGTAAGTACTAGGTGTGCATGCAGTGTACACACACACACACAGAGGCAAAATACTCATATACATAAAAATAATAAAACTCAAAACAGTGGTTAGAGTGGACATTAATCAGCAGGTGCTGAAGACTAGGGGTAGGGTAACAACAGCCACTGTCTAACAGGAAGGGACAAGGAACACAGTCCCTGTCCTCTGTGGTTTCTGTCTTTGGGCATCAGCTCCCGTGAGCCACCTGGTCAAGTGCTGGTGAGATGACTCAGCAGAGCAAGGTGCTTGCTGGCTTTCAGTACAAGCCTGACAACCTGAGTTTCATCCCCAGAGCTCACATGAAGGAGGGGGAAAGAACTAACTCTAAAGGTAGTCCTTCAACCACCATACGGACTCTGCAGCACACAGCATACACAAAAAATGTTCAGTATTTTCCCCCCTTTGTTACTGTTTTGAGGAAGGGTCTCACTATGGAGCCTTGGCTGGCCTCTAGCTAGCTACGTAGACCAGGTTGGCCTGGAACTCAGAGAGACCCACCTGCCTCTGCCTCCAGTGTACTGGGATTAAAGACATGCATACCATACCCAGCATGAGTAATTTTGTTTATATAATTAGTCAAGATAACTATATATATAAGTGCTTGGATCAGGGCTGAGGCTCAACACTAAACCATCTGAATGCACTAGGCCTTGGGTTCAGTTCCTAGTGCAGAAAAGAAAAAGAAAGATAAGTGTATAGGTGAGTCCAGAAGGCAGCACAAATGTTTTTATGACCACTCTGTTACCTGGTTTAAATAAAGACTGCATATGTTAATGATTGAACCACATGATAACAGCAAGACAAGGGACATGGAAGGAGCAGGGCTTTGTGACGGCAAAGCTGTCATAAGCTGCTGTCCTTGAGCTCTGACTCCAGACGAAAATGCTTTCTGTCTGGAGGCTAATTGCAATCCTGCTGTGGTCACACACCTCTGCAATTCCAGCTCTCAGGAGCCTCCATCTCAATAAAATGAAAAGGATGCTGCCTGCGGTGCATGGAGTGTGACCTACGGCTCTCAGCCCCCTCAGGGCACCTCTCCTTGAGACTGGCGGATTCTCTTTTTCTGACCAAATTCATAAAGGACTGACTTACAAAGCAAAGGTTAATTGTTTTGTCCGTGGGTATTAGAGTTTTCCAATGACCTCTCCTGGTCTTGCTGTATCACTCCTCAGAAGTTTGCTGAGTAAGCAGAAGGAAGAAGCCAGGAGGAGCTGAAGGCAGCAGGAGGGAAGGCCACACTCCCTCCCTACTAGTCTGGAAGCACCACAGGGACCCCACTATTACATTTGAGACATGGTAATCTAAAAATTCATTCTAATTGCTTTATTTTTTAAGTTTCATTTATAGATACTGTATTTCTATCATTTCTTCCTCCAAATGTCACAGTTTTTATTCTTTAATTGAAAACAATGCGTTTCATCAGCAAGTCTTTACAGGTGTGTCAGGGTACTTTGGCCTTGCCAGTTCCCCTCCCCACAGTGTCCCTCCCTGTAACAGTCACCTCACAGCTCTCTTGCTTCTTCTAGTTAGTCCCCCTTCTCCTCTTCATGCCCACTGTGTCTACTGAGGTCACAGAGATCTGCCTGCTTCTGCCTCCAGAGTACTGAGATTAAAGGTGTG